TCCAGAAACAGTACGGTCTCTGGTGACCCAGGAGTGATCTGAACACAGGTTTCTGGAACCTTAGAAGCAGGAGGATTTGAGAGATGGAAAGGAGTGAGAAGCAGAAGGGCTGGGCCCTGAGGCTGCAGGTACTGTTTCCTTTCTTGGTATCTTTGTTCAACCTCGCGCTTTCTGAACAGATTCAGTATTCCATTCCAGAGGAAATGGAGAAAGGGTCAGTGGTGGGGAACCTCGCCAAAGATCTGGGGCTTAGTATCCGGGACTTGCCGACTCGGAAACTGCGGGTTAGTTCAGAGAATGAATACTTTACTGTGAGCGCAGAGAGTGGAGAATTACTGGTGAGAGGCAGAATAGACAGAGAGGAAATATGCGGGGGCCAGTCTGAGTGTGCTCTGGAGTTCGAAACCGTCGCTGAAAATCCAATGAATATCTTCTTTGTAATTGTGACAATACAGGATATTAATGACAATCCACCACAATTCCTTAAAAACTCTATTTCCCTAGAAATCAGTGAACTAACGCTACCAGGAGTGAAATTTGCTCTCGCATCGGCAAGAGATTCAGATATAGGCATGAACTCCCTTAAAACATATCAGATTAGTCCCGACCCCTATTTCTCTCTATCAGTGAAAGAAAGACCAGATGGCAGTAAATACCCGCAATTGCTTTTGGAAAAATCCCTGGACCGCGAAATTCAGAGTTCTCACCATTTGGTCCTGATGGCTGTAGACGGCGGGGAACCAGCACAAAGCGGCATGGCTCAGATATGGATCAATGTCACTGACGCCAATGATAATGCCCCAGTCTTTAGCCAAGATGTTTACAGGGTCAGTGTTTGGGAGAACTTGCCCCCGGGCTCCTCACTGCTACGTGTGACTGCCACTGACAAGGATGAGGGGGTCAATGCAGAAATCACCTTCTCCTTCTGCAACGAGGACAATAGCAGGCTATTATTCTACCTCCACCCCAACAGCGGGGAAATTACAACTAAAGACATCCTGGACTTTGAAGAAACAAATAGATATATGATGGATGTCGAAGCAAAGGATGGAGGAGGTCGCACAGCACACTGTAACATTCAAATTGAAATTCTCGATGAAAATGACAATGTCCCAGAGGTGAACTTCGTCTCACTCTCTGATCAAATTCCAGAAGACTCTTTGCCTGGAACTGTTATTGCACTCATTAAAACACATGACCGAGATTCAAAGGAAAATGGTCAGGTCTTATGTCATATCCAAGAAAATTTTCCTTTCAAGTTAGAATCTTCTTCTAGAAATTATTACAAGCTGTTGACTGATGGGCCTCTGGATCGTGAGCAGACTCCGAAGTATAACATCACTGTGACAGCCATAGACAAGGGAAACCCGCCTCTGTCCACCAGCAAAATCTTCACCTTGCACATTGAAGACATTAATGACAATCCCCCAGTTTTCCTCCAACCTTCTTATGTCGCTTACGTTTCTGAAAATAACCCTTCTGGTTCTTCCATAGCCAAGGTCTTGGCAGAGGACCCTGACCTTGAGCAGAATGGCCACGTGTCCTACTCCATCGTGAGCAGTGACCTGGCCCCACTCACTCTGTCCTCCTACGTTTCTGTCAATGGACATAGTGGGGACATCTTTGCACAGCGTTCCTTCGACTATGAACAGGTCCGCAATTTCGAATTGACACTGCAGGCCCAAGACTCTGGGTCCCCTGCTCTGACAGCTAACACCAGCCTGCGAGTGTTCATAGTGGACTGCAATGACAATGCCCCAAACATCCTTTACCCAGCCCCGGCATCTGACAACTCTGCCCTTTTCGACTTGGTCCCTAGACTGGCCGAGCCTGGCTACCTGGTCACCAAGGTGGTGGCTGTGGACGCTGACTCAGGACACAACGCCTGGCTAGCCTACTACGTGCTGCAGGCTACGGATCCAGGGCTCTTCAGTCTAGGACTTCACACAGGTGAGGTAAGGACGACCAGGGCTTTGGCTGATAAAGATGCAACTAGGCACCGGCTTCTGGTTTCCGTGCAGGATGGTGGACAGCCCCCGTTGTCAGCCACTGTAGCTTTGCACTTGGTCTTTGCAGACAGCCTGCAGGAAGCGCTACCCGAAATGAGGGAGGAGCGCTCAGATATCCTGAATCCCCAGTCTGAGCTACAGTTTTACCTAGTAATAGCTTTGTCCCTAATTTCTATGTTGTTCCTCATGACAGTGACACTTGCCATCACCCTGCATCTTCGGAGATCTTGCAACACTAACATGTTAAGCTGTATCCATGTGGATGTTTGCTCTAAGGCTAAACCTGATTTCCCCCCAAACTACAGTGAAGGAACTTTACCATATTCTTACAGTCTGTGCATGGCCCCAGAATCAGGAAAAATGGAATATAATTTTCTCAGATTTACTGCAGCAATAGCACCTCCCCAGAATCTCCTTCTTAATGATGACTCTGAGGTCCTAAATAACACTAATGGAGAACTCAAGGTCACATCTGATTTGGTCACTTCTTCTCATGTAAGTTTTTGCAATCACTTTTTGCCTTTTTGCCCAGCAACTCCATTGTGCATTAGTTCTTAAAATTATCATGTTTCTCTGTATTTGGGGGTTTGTTTTCAACATTGTCTATCTCTTCTAATTTATCAGACAGCATTTTCTGGGTAAACAAATAATATTTATATTTGAGCATCTTAATTCTGGATGGTGAAACCTTCTCAGTTTTGAGCAAAGTAAAGAGTTCCTCTGATAATCTGTAATCTGCACTTTTGAATTTGACCATTCACATTTGCCATGAACTTAAGTTATTGAAATAACCAAATGAGAAAAATATACTTTCCAACCAAAGAATTTCATGATTTAAATTAAGTAAAAGGATACTGCAATCATCAGCTTGCAAAGTTTTTTTTAAGTTTTTAAAATTGTTATCATACTCATTCTTTAAAAAATGCCTCTTCTTTGAAAAACTTGGTCCTAGTTTAGAGGACCAAAACAGTACATGAATCAAGGTATTCAGTAAATAGTGATCATTAGGTTACTGAGGCAAATGTATAAAGGTGTACTAATTATTTATGTTCTGGCCAAAGTTTGTCTAAATTAAAAATAATGATTAAAATGTTAATAAAATATGCCTATATCTTAATTCAAAATCCCAGAATCCCGGAATTCTGCATAGTTGAATACATTTTCCCCTACACAGATCTTTGGTGTGTAAAAACCCTTCTCTCATGCATACACAGGGCCAGAATGATTACTAATATAAATTATGCAAAGACTGACAGATGTGGGATTTTCCTTTTTTTCAATAGTTCGAGATATTCCATTGATTCATAGATAATTATTGCTATTTGTTTCTACTGTAAAAGTGGAGTTGAAATTATCCCCACCCCATTCTAGCTCTGATACCTTAACTAGGTTTGAATACTTATGAATCAATCAGTGAAAAGACCTTAGACAAAGTGTGAAAAGTCCTTGAAAGCCACTGAATGAAATGAAATGACAAAAGAAAGGAACTCTGTTCAGATTATCTGGGAAACTTAGTCAGTTCTCCCAGAATCAGATATAAATTGTCAAAGAATAGAGAAGGGAGAGAAACTACATAAAATGAAGCAAGTGTGGCTCTCCAGCACATCCCTAAGAAGGAATAGTCTTGGAGGAGTTGAGGTAGAGAGGTCTTAACTTTGACCTTGTCTAGGTCTACCTCCTCCCTTCTTCCCTGCCCTCCTGGACTGGAAGTCTTTGCACCTTCAAAAGGTGCAGCAAACAGCACACCCAACCAATTGATAACAGTGTCTGCATCAGGAGTCAAGCAAAAACTAGAATCATGGGATTCATTATACAAGAAGCCCAGCAAAGAAACCACACCATGTCTAAAGGGAAATTATTGAGCATCATAAGAATGGGAGAAAAGGACTTAAGTCTACTTTCCCCTGGAATCTATGTGTACTTGTAGGAGAATATATCATAGACTGGGGGTGGGGGGAATGTTTTGTACCAACTATTCATGCTTATGTATCCTCTTAGTAAATGTCCCTTTCTGAAAGCTACTTAAGGCTGAGTGACTAAATTAATAATCAACTGAAAAACTTGGTGGAGGGAGCATATTGGTGGGGACTTCAAGCAATAATATTAGAAAGTTACCCCCTGTGCCTAGGGGTACCTCTAGAATCCTGAGGGAGAGAGGTAGCTAAGGTCTGGGATCCAACTCTTAAAAGGAGATAAAGAGGTGGGATAAAGAGTCCCCAGAGCTTACATGAGATATAATGTAGCCACTATATATATATATATATATATATATATATATATATATATATGTGTGTGTGTGTGTGTGTGTGTGTGTGTGTATACTTTATTAATGGATAACACAAAAAGGTAGATAACCATTAAGTAATGTTTACTTTCATTGGTCAACCAACAACTCAGAATAACTCTCTTACTGAAAGTTAGAGGGCCAACAGTTGTAACAAGTCAGAGAGCCACCAATCTCTAGCTCACAAAGCCTAAGTGGCTTGCTCTTAACTTGACCTAAATGCTTCTCCAACTTGGCAGGTAGGAGAAAAAAAGAATTTACTTTATGTCTTGGAATTATTAATAGTCTAATGTTGGAAATGGAAAGCCACAATGACAAAATAGGATACAGTAAAGAAAATGGAAAGGGATCATGAATACTTTTCACACCACTATTTTGAAAAATCCTCATTAAAAAATAAATTATTTGGAATATTTTAAAATGACATAAAATATGATAAAATCTATAAGGAATACCTGCTTTGGATCAATGCCCTCTGTAGTTCTCAAGAAAACTAAATGAAGCAGATATATCTTTTAGATATGTTTCCTCAAAATGGGAATTAATTGGAATTCAAGAGTTTTATAGTTTCCATGCTTTGCCGATGATGCAATAATTGGTTAGGACTCTGGGCGCCGCTGTTCACTAATCAGGGAGAGAAATCCAGTCAGATCCTCCCGACTTCCAACCGACAAAGCCAGAAGTTGCTCAGCCACACAAAGAAAAGGCTGTTCAGACACACAAGCCCACCAGCAGAACTGAATCAGCCAGAAAACACCCCAAGATACATAAATTGTGATGAATGCCGATCTCCAGGGATTTAGAAGACATAAGAACTGATCCGGAAAGAGCTGTTGGAAGAATAGGCAGAAGAAATATCTGCAGCAAGGTAACAATGGCAGCTCTGCAGAGACGTCCGGGCAGCAGTGCCCTGCTTTGCTTTCTCCTTGGAATTCTGTGGGAGGCCAGTGCCAGTCAGTTAAGCTACTCAGTGCGGGAGGAGATGGAGGAGGGCGCCTTCGTGGGTGACATCGCCAAGGACCTGGGACTGGAACCGCGGGAGCTGTTGGATCGAGGAGCCCGAATTGTTTCCAGAGGTAAGAAGCAGCATTTCGCTCTTGATGTCAGAACTGGCAGCTTAGTCACAGCAGACAGAATAGACAGAGAGAAGTTGTGTGGGAGAATATCCGCGTGCACTGTAAACATAGAGATTCTGCTAGAGGACAAAGTGAAAATTTATGAAATAGAAGTGGAAATAACTGATGTTAATGATAACATACCTAGCTTTGGCACAGAAGAAAGGGAAATCAAAATCAGTGAAAGCGCAATGCCAGGAGCAAGATATCCCCTTCCAGAAGCCTTTGATCTAGACGTGGGGGTGAATTCACTGCAGAAATACAAATTGAGCTCAAACCATCACTTCTCTCTGCACGTACAAAACGGAAGAGAGGATGCCAAGTACCCTGAGCTGGTGCTGGAGCGGGCCCTGGACAGGGAGGAGGAACCTGTCCATCACCTTACCCTCACTGCTTTTGACGGAGGAAATCCGGCTGGTTCTGCCACCGTGAGCATCCTCGTGACTGTCCTTGATGCAAATGACAACGCGCCAGAGTTTACTCAGTCCCAGTACAGCGTGAGTGTTCCTGAGAACGTGCCAATGAGAACATGTCTGCTCAGGGTGAATGCCACAGACCGGGACGAGGGAATGAACGGAGATGTATCTTATTATTTCCGGAAAATTACCGAGAAAACCTCGCAACTATTTGAACTGAATGCTTTGACTGGGGATATAACAGTATTGGAAAATCTAGATTATGAGGAATGTAATTTCTATGAGATAGATATTGAAGCCAGAGATGGGGCTGGATTTCTGGCCAGAGCCAAGGTTCTGGTCAAAATACTGGATGTAAATGACAACGCCCCCGATGTCACCATCACCTCTGTTACCAGCTCAATCTCTGAAAATTCTGCTGCAGGATCAGTGATTGCCTTTTTCAATGTGCATGACAAAGATTCTGGGGAGAATGGTCAGGTCACATGCTCCATCCCAGAGCACCTGCCTTTCAAACTTGAAAAGTCCTATGGAAATTACTATAGTTTGGTGACCGACAGAGCCCTGGATCGGGAGCAAGTCTCCATGTACAACGTCACCGTGACAGCCACAGATGGAGGGAATCCCCCTCTGTCCACTTTTATTCACATCTCCCTGCACATAGAAGACACCAACGACAACCCCCCGGTTTTTGTCCAGACATCCTACTCAGCCTATGTCATGGAGAACAATCCCAGAGGCACTTCCATTTACTCTCTAACTGCTCTTGACCCCGACATTGGGGAGAATGGACACATCACTTATTCCATTACAGATGACTCGGTACACGGTGCACCCCTCTCCTCCTATGTTTCCATTAACTCTGAAACTGGCATCCTCTATGCTCTGCGTTCATTCGATTATGAACAGTTCCGGGAATTGAAGCTAGGAGTAACAGCCAAGGACTCTGGGGACCCTCCTCTCAGCACCAACGTGTCCCTGACTCTGTTCATCCTGGATCAGAATGACAATGCCCCGGAAATCCTGTACCCCGCCTTCCCCACGGATGGCTCCAGTGGAGTGGAGCTGGCCCCACGCTCTGCAGAGCCAGGCTACCTGGTGACCAAGGTGGTGGCAGTGGATGCAGACTCTGGCCAGAATGCCTGGCTGTCCTACCGACTACTCAAGGCCACAGAGCCTGGGCTCTTCTCCGTGGGTCTGCACTCAGGGGAGATAAAGACTGTCCGGGCATTCCTGGACAAAGATACCCTGAAGCAGAGACTCATAGTGGTGGTGACAGATAATGGGGAGCTCCCCCTCTCTGCCACTGTCAGTATCACCATAGCTGTGGCTGACAGCATCCCAGAGATCCTCTCCGAGCTCAGCAATCCCGAGGCACCAGATGACCTTAAAGACTCCAGCCTCACACTCTACCTCGTCATCGCAGTGGCTGTCATTTCCTGTTTGTTCTTCACCTTCATTGTCATTTTGTTGGCGCTCAGGTTACACAGGTGGAGGACCTCAAAGTTGCTGGGTGCATCGAGTGGGCATTTTGGAAACATCCATTCCTCCCAATTCGTGGGCATTGATGGAGTGAAAGCATTTCTCCAAACACATACCCAAGAGGTTTCCCTCACTACTGACTCTCGGAAAAGCCAGTTGATATTTCTGGGACCAAGCTACGCAGACACTTTATCAATTCAGCAGAACTCTGATAAAAAGGAACCTCCATTCATACCCCATGAATCAATTCTTTCTAATGAGGATCAGTCCTTTCAGGTAGGCTTAAGCTTAATTCTTAATATAGATTTAATATTCTATCAATTACAACTTAAATTTGAAGAGAATCTTAATTTTCACCTAGTCTTACCTCTCTCCAAATGTCAGAATCTTCTTTCCAACAACCTTACTGGTAGTAAGCTTCAGCTTGAGAGTACAAGTAATAGAAATCTTGATGCAAAAAAAAGTTTTCATTTTTGAAAAATTCTAATTGTTAGACATGTTTTCTGTATATTAAGCTCCAACTTGGTTCTCTAACTTGTGTACATCTAAACATAAATCTGTCATAGCTACACAGAATCATTCTGATTCTTCTTAGAAATAGAATTAGAGGCAGTTGGTGATGCAGTAGATATGCCTTTGTTCTTAGAATTAGCATTAGGGTCCTTTGATGGCACAGTGAATAGAGTACTGGGCCTGAAGTCAGGAAGACATGATTTCCAATCTGGCCTCAAAAACTTACCAGTTAAATGACTCTGGGGAAAACATTTAACTTCTGTTTTCCTCAATTTCCTCAACTGTAAAATGGAGATAATAACAGCACCTACTTCTCAGGGTTGTTCAAATGAGTACTATTTGTAAAAAGTGCTTAGCACAGTATCTGGCAAGTAGTAAGCACTATGTAAATACTTATTTTCTTCCCTTCTTCTCTGTCCTTTGAATACTTGTAAGTTGCTGTTATTTGTTTCTCAACTCTCTTCGTGTGTGTGTGTGTGTGTGTGTGTATGTGTGTGTGATTCCCAGTTCCTTCAACTGTTCTTTATTTAGTCTTTTTTCAATACTTTTTGAAAATTTGGGCTCCTTCTGATGAACAGATTTCATTCTATGAATATGTATCTCAAGTTCTGACTTCTAACTAAAGACAGAAATCCAATATTATGGGCTCACCAGTACAAAGTTGGGAGGCACAGGGCTGTAGTACTATTGCTTCTCTTATTTTGAACAAAGTGTTTCTATTATTCAGTATGATATCTCATTTGTTTCTTTGGTATCTACATAGTGCTGTTGTCTCATATTGAGTTTTTGATCAATTGAAATTGCTACAGCTTTTTCAAAACAATTCTTGTGAAAACACTTCTCCTCCATCCTATATTTGATGCAGTCATTGTTTGGGAAGGAAGTATGAGATTCTATATTTACACATTTTGTATTTAATCTCCTTAGTCTAGGCTTGTATTTTTAATCTACAGAGATAATTTAAATCTTAATTTTGTCACCTGAAATATTAAATGTCTTTTCCATATTTGTGTCATCTACCCCCCAAAAAAAGAAGGAAAATAAGGCATGGCTTCTAGGTCTTGATCTGTGTTGTCAAATGTGTTGAATAGGACTTTGCTTTGTTATTGTAAAAATCACTGGATGAAAGTCAGAAAATTTGTCTTGAAGCCTCATCTTTTTATTTTCATCCCAACTTTCCCTTGAGAAAGTAAGAGAAACAATACACCAATAAAAGGGTATAGAGTCAAGCAAAACAAATTCCTTAACAGGCAATGTCCAGAAAAATAGGTCTCAATCTTCATGCTGAGTCAAGCACCTCCCTATCAGGAGATGAGCAGCAAGTTTCATTATGAGTCCTTTCAAATTGTGATGTTTTTATGTTGATCCAAGTTTCTCATTCTTTCATAGTTATTTGTTTTTATAATATTTCTGTCATTGTATAAATTGCTCATCTGGTTCTAGTCACCTCATTCTACATCAGTTAATTCAAATCTTCCCAGGCTTCTCTTAAACCACCTTCTTCATCATTTCTTACGGCAAAATAGTATTCTTTCACGTTAACATGCAATGACTTATCCAGCCATTCCCCAGTTGGTGAGCATCCTCTCAGTTTCCAGTTCTTTACCTGGTCTTTTTCACAGCTTTGAAAATGGTGGGAGAGCAGTAAATAAAACCATCTTTCAGGTCTTTGTTCCACCTCAATCTTTAAGATCTTTGTTCTAGCTCTTAAGAAATCCAATGGCTTCAATTATAAGACCAAGGACTAAACTTCATGGTAACTTTACCAGATGACCTCAGTTCTTGGCTTTTCCTGATGTACCTAATCTACAATGTGTGGCATGGCAGTGTAGGATCTTATGGAACAACCTTATTGAGGTAACATAGAAGGCATGGTGCTAAGGTCATATTTTCAAACACTTTCTTTTGACTTATCAGATCAATATCTAAATAAATTATTTAAGACACTCTTCATATTATTCTTCTATAATAACTCCATCTTTCCATTTGAAAGTTGAATTATTTCATTTTCAGTACACATCTGTTCTTATTTGATCTTTTTGTATATTTTGTTTTCATGAACTATTAGATTTAAAAGTGTTTGACCTTTTAAAAATTACTTATTTTAGCCTATTTTGGGAGCATATTTGGATGTTTTCAGTTGTCATTCATTGGAGATAATACAACATGATTTTGTGCAGTGATTCACCATGATATTCAATGTACCCTAGAAACCTGGCTGTTTTTTTCTATCATAATTGAAATACTCAGAGAACCAATACACTTGAATGTTCAATCAGTTGATTATTGTTTTGCTATGGCCGTATTATTTGTTAAAATGATAATTTTATTATTTCTAAAGAGAACAGTTTTTAAATATCTTCCATCCAACATTAACTCAGTCTCTTTGGAGAAAATGAAAATACCCCTGATGAAATCTATTATACGGCATAATCATCCTTTTTTGAATGGGGTAATATTAATTAGTATGTAACCCAATTAGTAGGGTGGCATTCCACTAGAGACTTGTTCTTGTGTATTACTCTGGAATTTGTTGCTCCAAGTATCTTTCTGTGGATTTTTAATTATCCTTCTAAAGCGTGTGCAGAGGAGAGGAACTAGGATAGTGTGAAGACCAAAACTCATGCCATACAAAGATTGGTTGAAGGAATAATGCTGGCAAACATTTGTTTATTTTAAAGTATTCCCCATTGCCAAGGAGGGTATTTCTTGCAAAATCCAAACTGAAAATTCTTCTCATATGTAGTGAGGATCCCCAGTGATCCTGTTTGTGATAAATGTATCAAGTCCCAGAACCCTTCCGAACTTCATTAATGGGTTCCACAACTATTCCTCTTAATAACACACACTTGAAAAACTAAGTGTAAGAAGAATGCCTTTTCCCACCCCAAGTCATGCAGTTACAAATATAGCCCATGGACAAATACTGCAGATGGGCAAGAATATCACCCTGCATTGAAAAATTTTGTAGGAGAGTGGACTGAAATGCATTTGGTGAAATATATAGTATTTTTGCTGTTCCCCAGCACAAACCTTGTCCTTATATGCCAATATTCTTCTAGGTGTACTCTTTAGATAAAAATAAAGGAATCTCTGAAAAACAGAAATTTCTAATGAACCCAGGGGAGGAAAACAGTGTAAGCATAAGTAAGTTGAACCATATCAGCAATGATATAGGAAGAAGTTGATTAAAAAGCATCATTGATACCATTATTGGAAAAGGAGGTGGGTAGGTCATATAGGGAGAACCAAGGGCAACAAACGGACAATCTGAGTTAAAGAAATAGAGAAAGAATTCCATGTCTCTGAGTATATTTTTATTGGAGGATTTATGAGATAATGTGGACAAGAATTATATAGAATGAGATTTCATGGATGGATGAAGATCTGAATGGTTGGAGGGAAGTACATATTCCAAAGGAATAATCCCACCAAAGTATAATTCCATTTACTAGTAATGTTTGTGATTCCTATGTAGTGATCATTTCAAAACAGGTAAATAAAAGAATTAATAACAAGAGAATGTAAAGAAAATTAAAATCTCAATTAATGGAAATAATGAATTGCATTAAGTGGTTTCCAATATTTGAGTTTGTACTGAATGGTTCCATTGAGATGGAAGCAATTACAGTTATGACTTCTATTATTTTTGCTTTTTTTTTTTTTTTGGTGAGGCAATTGAGGTTAAGTGACTTGCCCAGGGTCACACAGCTAGTAACTGTCAAGTGTCTGAGGCCGGATTTGAACTTAGGCTCTCCTGACTCCAGTTATGACTTCTAATAGTGCAAATTCGAATAAATGCAACCACATCGTGGGATTCATTATTCTCACTAATCTAGACCTAACTGTGAACTCACCCCCATTATATTGGCAAAAATCACACACACAAAAAAGGAAAATGACAAATACTGGAGAGTACATTAATGTGCTATTGGTGGAATTGTGAAGTATTCTTGCTTTTTTGTGAAGTATTTTGGAACTACTTCCAAGGAGTTATTAAACTATGAACATCATTTGACTCACAGATGCTGTTACTAGGTCTATACCTTAAAGAGGTCACAGAAAAATGAAATGACTCCTATATGCAAAAACATTTATAGTTCCTTTTGTGGTGGCAAATAATTCTAAATGGAAGGTATGCCCATCAACTTGGGAATAGCTAAACAATTTATGGCATATGAATTGGAATACAATTGAGCTGCGAAAATTATGAAGGGGGTTATTTTAGAGAAAACTAGAAAGACTTGAATGAAAAGTTCAAAATGAAGTGAACACAACCAGGAGAACGTTTTATACAATAACGACAATATCTCGAAGACAAACAACTGTGAAAGACTTGGAAACCCTGATCATCAGTACAAAACCCAACTACAATGCCGAAGGACACAAAATGAAACATGCCAGACACCTTCAGATAGAGAAATGATGAATTCATGGTACAAACTGAGGCTTATGATTTCATTTCTTTTTGTTGTGGACATGGCTAATGTGGGAATTTGTTTTTCTTGACTATACAAGTTTGTAACAGAACAAAAAAAGAAGCAGTTGGGAAATAAACCACCACTATTATTGAAAGGATGATTAAAAAAGAGAACAGTGTTCTGAAAAGGCATTATAAAAATTCGAGGTTTTTGGCCAAGTAATTCAGGATTAAACCTGGAAGGGATTGTTAAGTCCATAAAGCCCAACCCCCAAATTTTGCAGGTGGGAAAACTAAATTTGCACAGGGAGCACAAGTAGGTTAAGTAGCTTGCTCAGGGTCACGTGAATGGTGTCTGAGGCAGGATTCCAACTCAAGCCTTTGTGACTTCAGGTCCAGTACCTATATATTATACCAAACTGCTCAGAGAAAGAATTTTTAACATTTCCAATCCAATGAGGAGGGGGAAGGAATTGAATATTGAGAGGAACAAGCAATAATAATACTTCAGCAGTTATTTGCTAAAGAGATTTTTTTCCCTTGGTTATTACTGAAAATTTTGTCCTGGAGAAAAATCGATCGATGAAGGATTGGCTGAAATTTTCCGACCAAGACACTGGGCGCCGCTGTCGGCCAATGTGGAAGGAGAGCTGGAACAGAGAATCCCTTGGAGCCAGCTTCCTGATGGGTAATTTCCTGTCCACCAAGAAGCCTTGTATTTATTCAAGCTCCGGACCCACTGAATCTTCTCTGGATTTGTAGTCACGCTAGGCTAGACAGTGAAATTGGCCCTTCTGTAATACCGATTCGTGCAACTAACGATCACCTACACTTCGGCTTCTGGGGAAGTGAAGAGTTTCTGTCTGCACGGAGAGCCTGAGAGATGGGAAGGAGCGCCGGGCAACGAGCTCTGACTCTGAGGCCGCAGGTACTAGTCCCCTTCTTGGCGTTCTTGTTCTGCTGCGCTTTTTCTGAGCAGATTCGCTACTCCATTCCAGAGGAAATGGCGAAAGGGTCGGTGGTGGCGAACCTCACCAGGGATCTGGGACTAGAGGTCCAGGACCTGCCGGTTAGGAAGCTGCAGGTTAGTGCAGAGAGGGAATACTTTAGCATCAGCTCGGAGAGTGGGGAATTGCTGGTCAGCAGCAGAATAGACCGAGAGGAAATATGTGGAAGGAAGCCTGTGTGCTCGCTTGATTTCGAAACAGTTGCCGAAAATCCACTTAACATTTTCCATGTAACTGTGGTCGTGCTCGATATTAACTACAATGCCCCGTTATTCAAACGGTCGCAAGTAGATTTAAAGATCTCGGAATCCATTCAAGTAGGTTCGTCCTTTCCTCTGGACCCCGCTGTAGATTCAGATGTTGGGACTAATTCTCTACAAAGATACTACCTTGAACAAAACAGTTACTTTGATCTAACAGTGAAACAGAATCCAGATGGCAATAGATACCCTGAGTTGGTACTGAAAAAATCTCTGGATAGGGAACAGCAGAGTTCACATCAATTGGTCTTGATGGCCCTGGACGGTGGGCAGCCAGCCCAAAATGGTACCGCTCAGATCAGAATCAATGTTGTGGATGCCAATGATAATGCCCCAGTATTCAGCCAGCAGATCTACAGAGTGAGTGTGCGGGAGAACCTGCCTCCAGGATCCTCGGTACTGCGTGTGATGGCCACCGACCAGGATGAGGGAGTCAATGCAGAAATTACATTCTCCCTTCAAAACGTGGATGAAGATGTGAAATTTTTATTTCACTTGGATCAAAAGACAGGAGAAATCAGGACGAGGGATAATTTGGACTTCAAAAATGCTAATAGTTATACCCTAAGCATAGAGGCAAAAGACTTTGGAGATCTAGCATCACACTGCAAAATCCACATAGAAATTCTCGATGAAAATGACTGTGCCCCCAAAATGACTGTGATATCTGTGTTCAGTCCAGTTCCAGAGAATTCTGAGCCTGGCACTGTCACTGCACTTCTGAAAATCCGTGACAGAGATTCAGGAGAAAATGGGGAGGTTATGTGTTATCTTCAAGAAAATATTCCCTTCAAGTTAGAATCCCCTTCCAGGAATTACTACAAGTTGCTGATAGACGGAGCTTTGGACCGTGAGCAGACCCCAGAGTATAACATCACTGTGACTGCCACTGACAAAGGAAATCCCCCTCTATTCTCCAGTAAGACCTTCATTCTTCACATAGCGGACATCAATGACAATGCCCCTGTTTTCCTGAAACCTTCCTATGTGGCTTATGTTCCTGAGAACAATCCCTCAGGTGTATCTATTTCCTGTGTCTCAGCAGTTGACCCTGACTTGGAACAGAATGGCAGTCTGTCCTACTCCATCATCTGGAGTGATCTCCCTACCCTGCCACTGTCCTCCTACATATCTGTCAATGGCCACAAAGGAGACATCTTTGTGCAGCGCTCCTTTGACTATGAGCAGATCTGTACCTTTGAGCTGATTCTTCAGGCCTCTGACGGGGGCTCCTCTGCCCTCAGTGCCAATGTTTCAGTTCGAGTGTTCATAGTGGATCAAAATGACAATGCCCCAATCATCCTCTATCCGACCCTGGGGGCTGATGGTTCAGCCCTCTTCGACATGGTTCCTCATTCTGCAGAGCCTGGCTACCTGGTCACCAAGGTGGTGGCAGTGGACGCTGACTCAGGATACAATGCCTGGCTGACCTACCACATATTGCAAGCCACGGATTCGGAGGTCTTCAGCCTGGGGCTCCGACCAGGACCTTGGCTGACAGAGATGCAGCCAAGCACCACCTGCTGGTATCTGTGCAGGATGGTGGACAGCCCTCTTTGTCAGCGACTGTGACTCTACACTTGGTCTTTGCAGACAGCCTGCAGGAGGCGATGCCAGAGATGATAGAGGAGCACTCCAAGATTCCTGACCCTCAGTCTGAGCTGCAGTTTTATTTGGTAGTAGCTTTGGCCTTAATCTCAGTGTTGTTCCTTATCACAGTGACATTGTCCATTGCCTTTCGATTAGGAAGGTCGTCAAGTTCGCCTATATTCAGATGTTTCTCTGTGGGTTTTTGCTCTAAGACTGGGCTCATCATCCCCCCAAACTACAGAGAAGGAACTTTACCATATTCTTATAATCTGTGTGTGGCCTCTCAAGGGGGAAAGATGGAATATAATTTTCTCAAACTGACTGGGGAAATGTTGCCTCCACAGGATTTACTCTTTAGTGATGCTTCCAGCATCCCAAATAACAGTAACGGGGAACTCCAGGCCACCTTTGACATGGTCATTCCTTCTCACGTAAGTTCTGGCAATAATCTCTTCACTTTTTTTATACAGTGTCTTCATTGTATGTTAGTTCTTAAAATGTACATACCTTAATTGTGAGTAATTGGGGATTTGTTCTTTTGACATACTCTCTATCTGCTTTGATTACCTGGAGAATATTTTCTTGGCAAATGTGTGTGCGTGTGTGTGTGTGTGTGTGAGAGAGAGAGAGAGACAGAGAGAGAGACAGAGAGAGAGAGAGAGAGAGAGAGAGAGAGAGAGAGAGAGAGAGAGCTTACTTCTGGTTTATGATGACTCCTTGGTTTGAAAGTATTAAGCTTCCCTGGAACTGTGAGGTCTGCACTTTTTGGTCTGGCCATGAATGTTCTTCATGAATTATTGGACTTTGATAAAGGATTTTTTCCTGCCATGTAATTTCATGGTTCAAATTACATAAAAACTTACTGACAATAGTTTCCTAAAAGAAGGGTTTTTTAATTAAATTAAATCAATTTTGAAAGGACAGATACATTTTTCAGTTTCAAATTCTCTCTCCCTTTACCCCTTCCCCATCCAATGAGAAGGCAAGAAAAGTAAAACCTGTTATCACTATGCAAAAAGAATTTCTACATTAACCACTAAGAGAAGTTTTTAGTTAAGTTTTCACTTTCATCATACCCATTAAAAAATTACTCTTTGGTTTTAGTATTCATTGATAATTCTGTATGTCCTAGTCACCTAGAAATAAAGTCTTTCACCAAACACTGACAATATATAACAATTGCAAGTGTAAAAAAGAGGTGTTTCTCATACAGGTCAAAATACTACCTTCCAGAAAAGTATTGATAGTGAGGAAAATAAGGTCTTGCATATCTCAAGAGTAAAAATCTAAGTATGCAGAACATTTATGAAAATTGTATTTAATTTTCTTTTGTTGGATATTTTGGTGTTTAGGAACCCCTATATCATGCATTCACAGTGAAATACTGATACCTAATTATGATTATACAAGGATTTCTATAGAGTGCTTAGATCTTACTTTTTGCATTATGAAGCTAAGGATTTCCTTAATTAGTACATTACCATACTTAATGGCCAAAAAACCCCCCAACAATCTCTTGAGTGATCTGCACAGAAATATAATTATTACATTCTTTCTACTTTTATTGAGTAAGCTGAAATCCATTTAGAATCTCTCAGTGAAGTCCATGGCATAAAATTGTAACAACTCACAAGAAAACCATTCTTCAATTCTAGAAACATAAATTTCTTCATCTCACTTACCAAAAACACTTCATCTGTGTGTGGTGTGGGAGGGGATGGGAGAAATTTGCGACTTGGAAATTGCTTATTTGGAGACTAAAGATCCACTTTGAGAATATAAGATGGAATAAAGGAAATGCAAAGGAAGCATGAATATTCAGCTAATAACCATATTTTAAAAAACTATTTCTAATAAATAAAAGAACAGAGTTACTGTCTTCCAGTCTACAACCATTCCATGTGTTTGGGTGCTCTCTGTATTTGCCACGAAAATTAAACGAAATAGACGTTCCTTTTAAAAATATGTTTTAAAGCAATAAAATCATTAAGAATGAATCTATTTTAAACCAACTTTTCATGCTTTGCTCAGAAATGGTGCAGTAATCTGTTAGGACTCTGGGCGCCGCTGTTGACCAGTCAGGAAGATAAATTCAGCCTAAATCTCTCTCCAGGCAGCTGACAAAGCCTAGGCATACAGTGTCAGACACACCTTAAAATCAGCCAGAAACTCTCTTCTCTACGGACTCCAAGATGCAGGGGCATTTTGATCCCCTTAGACAGTTAGAACCAGAGTGCTAATCCATATACTGAGGTTGGATTTACAAAAAGAATAAAAATTCAATAGTGAGACGGCAATGGCGGCTGGACAGAGGCTTGGGAACTGCCCAGAAATACTCCTTATATTCTTTCTCCTGGGATCGCTGTGGGAGACCGGGTCTGGACAGATCCGCTACTCAGTGCCCGAGGAGATGGAGAAGGGCTCTTTTGTGGGCGACATCTCCAAGGACCTTGGGCTGGGGCCCCACAAGCTGTCGGAAGGCGGAGCCCGCATAGTTTCCAGAGGTAAGAAGCAGCATTTTGCTCTGAATGTCAGAAGCGGCAGCTTAGTCACAGCTGACAGAATAGACAGGGAGGAGTTGTGTGGGAAAGCACCCGTGTGCATTGTAAACGCAGAGATTCTGCTAGAGGACAAAGTGAAAATTTATGGAGTAGAAGTGGAAATAATTGATATCAATGATAATATCCCCAGCTTCGGGGCAGACGAAAGAGAAATCAAAATCCCTGAAAGCGCAGTGCCAGGAACAAGGTTTCCCCTTCCGGAAGCCTTTGATGCGGATATAGGAATGAACTCTGTTCAGAGCTACCAGTTGAGTTCGAATCATCATTTCTCTCTGAGTGTGGGAAAAAGAACAGATGGAGTCAAGTACCTGGAGCTGATGCTGGAGCATGCTCTGGACCGAGAGGAGGAGCCTGTTCACCTCCTCACCCTCACAGCCTCGGATGGGGGAGATCCGATTCTCTCCGGCACCCTAAGAGTTCCTGTGACTGTCCTGGATGCGAACGACAACGCGCCAGAGTTTACTCAGTCTGTGTATACCGTGAACGTACCCGAGAATTTAGCACAGGGGACACAGCTGCTCACAGTGAGTGCCACCGACTTGGATGAAGGAATAAATGGGGAAGTCACTTATTATTTCCAGAAAAGTATGGAGAAAACTTCTCGGTTATTTCATTTGAATGCTTTGACTGGGGATATAACAGTATTGGAATATCTAGATTATGAAGAGTGCAATTTTTATGAGATAGATATTGAAGCCCGAGATGGGGCTGGACTTCTGGCCATAGCCAAGGTTCTACTCAAAGTACTGGATGTGAATGACAACGCCCCCGATATCACCATCACCTCCGTTACCAGCTCAGTCTCTGAAAATTCTGCTGCAGGGTCGATAATTGCCCTTTTCAATGTGCACGACAAAGATTCTGGGGAGAATGGTCAGGTCACATGCTCCATCCCAGAGCACCTGCCTTTCAAACTTGAAAAGTCCTATGGAAATTACTATAGTTTGGTGACCGACAGAGCCCTGGATCGGGAGCAAGTCTCCATGTACAACGTCACCGTGACAGCCACAGATGGAGGGAATCCCCCTCTGTCCACTTTTATTCACATCTCCCTGCACATAGAAGACACCAACGACAACCCCCCGGTTTTTGTCCAGACATCCTACTCAGCCTATGTCATGGAGAACAATCCCAGAGGCACTTCCATTTACTCTCTAACTGCTCTTGACCCCGACATTGGGGAGAATGGACACATCACTTATTCCATTACAGATGACTCGGTACACGGTGCACCCCTCTCCTCCTATGTTTCCATTAACTCTGAAACTGGCATCCTCTATGCTCTGCGTTCATTCGATTATGAACAGTTCCGGGAATTGAAGCTAGGAGTAACAGCCAAGGACTCTGGGGACCCTCCTCTCAGCACCAACGTGTCCCTGACTCTGTTCATCCTGGATCAGAATGACAATGCCCCGGAAATCCTGTACCCCGCCTTCCCCACGGATGGCTCCAGTGGAGTGGAGCTGGCCCCACGCTCTGCAGAGCCAGG